GGGGAAGGAGACAGGGCAGAGAGATGATTTCAAGGTAAAGGTGAAGGGGGGGGGGGGCCTTAGCAGGGAGGGAAAAGGAAGCCCAGGGAAAGAAGGTCGCTTGTGGAAGGCCAGGCAATGGGGATTGTAAAGGCCAGGCAGGATTCCAGATATTTCATGTGGTCGGCATGCTTCTGGACCTCACAGGCCAGTGCTGGAAGGAGAGCTGCAAACACACACACACACACACACACACACACACACACACACACACACACACACACACACACACACACCCTGCAGAGATTAGGAGATCAAGTAAGAGGCCAAGTAGGGGCAGCTGAGTGTCTGCACCCCTGAAATGGCCCTATCCCCAAACTGGCTGGCCTCTTTCTAATTGCATTCCCTAAAACTAAGTAGGAAAGGCAGAATTAATCCAGTCCACAGTGATACGGCTTCATGAAGGGGCCTCAGCCTTGCTCTCTCTGAGGAGGGGCCGAGGTAGCAACACATTGACGGAACACTACCGAGGCACGCTCCACCTCAAGGGATTCAGTCTAGAATGAGCCTCATCCGTTAGGAAGCACTCACTAAATGATCATAAATGAATGACAGCATGACAGACAAGCAGTTCACTGAATTTAATGAACAGCAAGAACCGAACTAATGGAAGAGGTGGCGGCTGACTGGAGTCTGGGGAGACTAGGTCTGAGGAAGCTGGACCAAGATCTCAGGTCATCTCCCTTCCTGATGACCCTGCAGCTCCTGTGTCCCAGTCCAGACTATGTGTGTGGGTGATAATATCAATGCAAACACTAACAGAATATAACTGACAGACAAATAGCACCGAGAATGGGCTGGCCACCTATTTACAGTCTTTATTATACTCTCCATTTAATCTCAACACCGAGGCTCAAGGAGATTAAAAAACTGTGGCTGGGATGGGAGGGGAGCTCATTGACAGAATGTTTGGCTACTGGGTTTGATTCTTTTTTTTTTTTTTTTTTTTTTTTTTTTTTGGTTTTTCGAGATAGGGTTTCTCTGTGTAGCTTTGCGCCTTTCCTGGAACTCGCTTTGGAGACCAGGCTGGCCTCGAACTCACAGAGATCCGCCTGGCTCTGCCTCCCGAGTGCTGGGATTAAAGGCGTGCGCCACCACCGCCCGGCTGATTCTTTTTTTATAGAAAAACAGTAATGATTTCAGATTTTTACATTTTACTGTATGTAAATTTTAGCTTCCTGTGGCAAGAAAAAAATGAGGAAACAAATACTGAATTGAACTTGAGCAGTTTAGAGGTAACATGTAGTAATGCTTGTTACTTGGAAAGATACGAGAAGTAGCCTGGGGATGTGGCTCACTGGGTAGAGTGCTGGCCTAGTGTGCACAAAGCCCTGGGTTTGAGTCCTGAATAAAGCAGGTGTGGTGCAGCACTCGGGAGGCAGAGGCAGGTGGATCTCTGTGAGTTCAAGGCCAGTCTGGTCTACAGAGTGAGATCCAAGACAACCAGGGCCACACAGAGAAACCCTGTCTAGAAACAAAACAAAACAAAAGATTTTAAAAAAATGAGATAGGTATGTGATTCAGCAAACAAAATGTTGTCTGTAGATCTAGGACAGTGGTTCTCAACTTTCCTAACGCTGCAATCCTTTATGGTTGTGGTGACCACCAACCATAAAACTATTTTGTTGCTACTTCATAACTGTAATTTTGCTACTTTTTTTTTTTTTTTTTTTTTTTTTGGTTTTTCGAGACAGGGTTTCTTTGTGTAGCTTTGCGCCTTTCCTGGAACTCACTTGGTAGCCCAGGCTGGCCTCAAACTCACAGAGATCCGCCTGGCTCTGCCTCCCGAGTGCTGGGATTAAAGGCGTGCGCCACCACCGCCCGTAATTTTGCTACTGTTATGAATCATAACGTAAGTATCTGATGTGCAGGATATCTGATATGTGACCTCCCAAAGGGGATCGCAACCCGCAGGTTGAGAGCCGCTGATCTAGTTGATAAGAACAGTTTTACGGGGGCTGAAGAGATGGCTCAGCCGTTAAGAGCACTTGCAGCTCTTGCACAGAACCTGGGCTCAGTTTCTAGCACCCAGGTCAGGTGACTCATAACCACCTGTAACTCCATCTCCAAGGGATCCAACACTCTTCTGGCTTCTGATGACATTTGCACTCATGTTTGAGAGACATGGACACAAACATAATTTAAATAATAAAAAAGAATAAAAACAAATCTTTTGAGATATATATATATATATATATATATATATATATGTTGTAAGTTTTTTTTTCTGTTTTTCCAGATGTTTGAACTTTGCAAGTATGTGTGTATGTGTTTGTGTGTGGTGTGTGTGTATGTGTGTGGTGTGTGTGGTGCATATGTGTGTGTGTGGTGTGTGTGTATGTGTATGGTGTGTGTATGTGTATGGTGTGTTTGTGGTATGTGTATGAGTGTGTATGTAGTGTGTGTATGTGTGTGGTGTGTGTGTATGTGTGTGATGTGTGTGTATTGTGTGATGTGTGTCTGGTGTGTGTGTGGTATGTGTATGAGTGTGTGTATGTGTGTGATGTGTGTGTATTGTGTGGTGTGTGTCTGGTGTGTGTGTGGTATGTGTATGAGTGTGTATATGGTGTATGTGTGGTGTGTGTGTGTGTGTGTATTGTGTGGTGTGTGTCTGGTGTGTTTGTGGTTTGTGTATGAGTGTGTATATGGTATGTGTGTGTGTGTGTATTGTGTGGTGTGTGTCTGGTGTGTTTGTGGTATGTGTATGAGTGTGTATATGGTATATGTGTGTATATGGTGTGTGTGGGTGTGTATTGTGTGGTGTGTGTCTGGTGTGTTTGTGGTATGTGTATGAGTGTGTATATGGTGTGTGTGGTGTGTGTGTGTGTGTGGTGTATGTGTGTATTCTTGCGTGTGAGTGCATAGAGACCAACTTCAGGCGTCAGCCCTGGCTTCCCCCTTGTTTGAGACAGGGTCTGGTGTGTTGTCTTCTCTGCAAACTCCAGGCCGGGCACTTCCTGTGATCTTCCAGGAACCCTCTTCTCCCCTCCCAATCACAGCAGGAATATGGAATTTCAGACGTGGTCTCCACAGCCATCTTTACGTGGGTTCTGAGGACTCAGACTCAGGTCCTCATGCTTGAGCCGCAAAAGTTTTCACCAGTGGGGCTATCTCTACGCCCAGTGTTTGAAATTTTTAATAAAAAACTAAGGTGTAATAATAAAATTTAAAAAAGAAGAAAACTACTTAAATGTGCCCTGTTTGTTCTGCTCGGGACACACTGGGCAGGTGTGGTGTGGGAAATAAGTCCCACAGGAAACTTGAGCAGAGGAGACCCAGGCACCAGATTCACTCATCCTCTGCCTCCATTTTAGCTACCAGCCTTCACAGACTTGGGGTGCAGCTCTGTAGCACCCTCTCGGTCACAGTTGAGAGGCCATTCCCAGGTCACTATAGCCCTTAGTCCTCTGCTCAATGCCAAAGCGCTGCCTCCAGGGTTCCTCACATCTTTGCGAGCCCTAGCTTGTCACCCACTTCCTGAGTCTGTCAGCAGAAGCGTTGGTGTAGTCTGGCTGCCTCTGATTCTCCTGCTTCTTAAGCAGTATGCCGATATCCCGCTGCATATGGCTGCCGAACACCAGGATAGGTACCCCGGGACACCCCAGAGCTCCATCTGGCGCTGGAGGTGCTGGGTGTACACGCCCACACACATGAACCCTAAGCAGACACAGCTGGAGGGGAATCTGGGGATGAATTCAACATGGAAGGCCCCTGGAGGGGGTGGACATTCATTCCCAGGGTGAACTGGAAGGCTGGAACTGAGGGGGAACCACCCTAGTGGTCACCAGGAGTCTCAGAGGAAGATGTTGTAAGCGGTCTCCCCCTTCCTCTCCTAGATGCAGGGAGATACAGAGGCAGGGAAAGACGCTGATACCGGAGGGGCACAAACGCCTGAGGTGGAGAGGTTTCTTTCCACTCAGGTGGCTCTGAGTGGTTGAATGTGTCCCCTCTGTAAACCACAGAGTCTGGGAAAACTGGGAGTGAGTGGTGATCCTGGATGGGAGGAATACCTGCTAAGATAAAGGGAAACAGACTATGGATTTGGGGTTTCCCGAGCCTGAAGGCATCTTCTGCCCTCAGATCCTACCCTTGGAGGCCCCGTGACTTCACCTTCCGGAGATGTTAGAAGAATCTGTAGCTGAAAGTGGTGGCCTGCCCTGTCATGCACTCTGTAGGCTAAGGCAGGAAGATGGTGCGTTCCAGGCTAGCCTGGGCTACATAGCAAAACCCTGCCAATAATAATTAACAATCTGTTCCTGATTCATCACAGCTCCTCAGCCCCTCCCCCTGTGTCTGTCCCCCTACTCCACAGTATTCCTCTTAAAAGTAGGAGGCTCTTGGTTTCAAACTGGTCGTACCAGAATCTGGTTCTTGCGTTAAGTTAGGAGCCTCTTTCTGCCCTCAAACAGGAACCAGATTAAAGGGCCAGGAAGTGCCCGAGGGAAGTTAAAGGCCTCAGATCATTCTTAGCCACTTCCCCACACCAGCCAAATAAGGCTTTCCTGGGGATGGGTGCCTTCTCTTTACTTTCTCAGTGGTCGTGATCACACCCACTCCAGACCCTGGCTCCCTTGCCTTTATCAGCCCCTCAGCAGCACACAGGACTGGGCAGTGCTCCAGCCTCCTCCAAGAGTCTCCCCATCCCCACTCTCCCACCCCCACCCCCCTACTCTCACTCCCCCAGCCCCCTAACCCCCCCTCAGCCTGGGGCAGAGGAAACCCAGGGGGTCTGGGGACAGTCAAACACCGTCTCTATTACTTCTGGGTCTTCCTTGGCTTTTTGTTTGCTTTTGAGACAAGAGTCTCACTTTGTAGCCTTGGCTGGCCTGGAACTCACAGAGATCCACCTGTCTCTGCCACCGGGGCCAGCGCTGGGCTTTCCTTGTTAAAGTCTCAGGCCCCTGGCCAGGAAAGGGACACCATACTATATTATGACAAATAGAACAGCCGGGCGAGGACAAGGATTGTAATGGGGCCCCTTGCCTCAGATGGGGAACTTGGGGGCACGTGACCAGCCCAGGTCATTAAGCCCAGCAAAACAGGGATTAGTTTAGTCTTGACCTTCGGGCCTGTTCTCAGTCCCTGGCTATGTCAGAACAAGCAGACAGTAAGTAGGGGACTCCTCTGTTCCACAAGGGGAGGGATGGGAGTGCTGGAGAGTGAGGGGTGAAAAGTGGTGTTCATGGTCAGGACGGTGGTCAGAACCCCTCAGAACTAACCAGTGCAGGAAGGAGTGGAGCCTCCAGAGGCCCAGAAACAGCAGGGTGCGGGTGTGAAGTCAGGAGGGGTAAGAGGTCTCAGATACCAGGAGAGGTAACCTGGGGTATGTGAATCTGCAGAGGAAGTGAGAAGTTGAAGTCTGGGTAAAGAACGTGTCATGGGCTGGGGATGTAGATCAGAGTGCTCCTTAGCGGCTTGAAGTCCTGCGTTACAGTCCAGCGGCTCAACCTAGGCATGCTAGTGCCTCCTGTAATCCCAGTGCCACAGAGGTGGGGCCGAAGGGCCGAAGGTCATGTTCATGTACTCTGTGCATAGAGGCTTCTGGGAGTTTGAAAGCAGCCTAGACTATAGGAGACCCTACATAAAAAAACTAAACTAAGCTGGGCGGTGGTGGCGCACGCCTTTAATCCCAGCACTCGGGAGGCAGAGCCAGGCGGATCTCTGTGAGTTCGAGGCCAGCCTGGACTACCAAGTGAGTTCCAGGAGAGGCGCAAAGCTACATAGAGAAACCCTGTCTCGAAAAAAAAAAAAAAAAAAAAAAAACTAAACTAAAGTAGGGTGGTGGTGGTGGCGCATGCCTTTAATCCCAGCATTTGGGAGGCACAGGCAGGCAGATCTCTGTGAGTTCGAGGTCAGCCTGGTCTACAGAGCGAGATCCAGGACAGCCAGGGCTACACAGAGAAACCCTGTCTCAAAAAAATAAATAAATACATCTCCTAGAGTACTATTTTCCTGCATGTAAAACTGTTAGAGGGTTGTAGAGCCCTGGCTTTGACCCCGGAACCACATAAAACAGGCACAGTAGTATACACTTGTCAACCTAACGCTCAAGAGGTGGAGGCAGGAGGACTGGAAATTCAAACATACGTGGCTATGTAGTGAATTTGAGGCCTCCGGGAAAATGTGAGACTCTGTCAACAGGAAAGAAAGAGACAGAAAGGCTGGAGAAGCACTGGCTGGGAGGGGGAGGGGGAGGGGGAGAGGGAGGAGGAGAGGGAGGGGGAGGAGAAGGAGAGGGAGGAGGGAGGAGGGGAGAGGGAGGAGGGAGGAAGGGAGAGGGAGGAGGGAGGAGGGGAGAGGGAGGAGGGAGGAAGGGAGAGGGAGGAGGGAGGTGGGGGAGAGGGAGGAGGGAGGAGAGATGATCAAGAGACTTTGTAGATAAGTATGAAATTGTCAAAGAATAGAAAGAAAGTGGAGATGGGGACTAAGAAAAGATGAAAGAAAGAAAAAGATAAAAAAATAAAGGAACTGTGAAATTGACATTTAACCAGGGGATTGGGAAAGCAATGGAAGAAAGACTCCCATACTTCTCCACCCTACAGAAAAATTGCAACAATACCTGCTGTATGGGAGCTCGGCGCTGGGAGGGCTCCTCCTCCTGCTTGTCCTCATTCTGTTCACCTGCCTGTGCCGGATCCATCACAGAGGTGAGCCTTACTGTCACCTCCCACAGCCACCTACAGCTCACCGCCCCCCATACCCTTCCTACTGTGAGGGCAGAAGTCCCATTGACCCTGTCAGATTCGGGTAGGAGAGATGAGAGGAGACATTAGAGCAGTGTCCAAAAGGCCCCGGCTTTGACTGTGGTTCCCATGACAGTCCCATTGGCAAGTGAGGAGTCGGGGAGCCCGTGTGCTGTGGAGGGCTGTCTGGGGTTGGAGAGCCTGGTGGGGTGCTGTTCTAGGGAGCGAGCCATTCTGAGATGGCACCAGTGTGAGGTGCTGTCCTAGGGTGGATGAGCAGGCTTGAGGTGTCATTCTGGGGTGGGGGCTGGGGAGGGTCTTGCTGAATCACTTTTTTTTTCTTCCAGTGAAGAGACTGGAAAGGAACAGGGTGAGTCTGGGGGTGAGGGGGTGAGGGGGAACCCAAGTAGGGAGTGGGGCTGGGATGTAGGGGTGGGAGCCAAGAGAAAAGGGAAGAGGAAGAAAGAGGGAAGGAGAAAACGAGAGAGGCAGAGAGAGAAATGAGGTGACAAGAAGAGGGAGCAAACGGTGTGTGTATAAGACAACTCCAGAACAAAGGAAGGAGGAAGAGAGGGAGGAGACTGGAGAGAGAAGAGTTCCAGGACAATCAGGATGACACAGAGAGGCCCTGTCTCAAAACAACAACAAAAGCAGAGAGAGAGAAGGAGGGAAAGTGGCCGGCAGTGTGGGTTAGTCGACAGCGTCTGTCTAGCCTGTACAGAGCCCTGGGCTGGATTTCCAGGCCAGCATAAAACCAGAGCAGTGGTACATGCCTGAAGTCCCAGGGAGAGGCAAGGAGCTTGTCCTCAACTCCATATCCAGTTGAAGGCCAGCCTGAGCTACATGAGACCCTGTCTCAAAAAAGGAGGGGCCTCTAAGAAAAACGCTTGTTGCAGCCTGCTGTGGTGGCCGGTGCCTGGAATCCCAGCGCTGTGGGGTGCAGACAGGCAGGTCCTAGGGGCTCTCTAGCCAGCCAGCCTAGTGGGAATAACAAATTCCAGTCTGTCAATAATAATAATAATAAGTGTGGAAACAGTTGGAAAGGCGTCCAGGCGCTCTGGCCTACACAAGCACAGGCAGACATGCATACACCATACACATACAGAAAGAAAGGAGGAAGGAAAGAGGAAGAGCGGGAGAGGAAAAGCAAAAGAGAGCCTGACAGTCAAAGAGAGACATCGGTGAGAGTCAAGAGTGAACACTTGGGTGGACGAGGGGAGCTTCAGAGAGAGAAGAAAAGGAGGCTGAGGAAGCAGAGAGAAAGATGGGAGCTGGGGCAGGGCTGGGGGAGGGGTGTGAGGCTGGCACCCGGGGCCCTCATCGCAGTCCTCTGCCTCGCCAGGCCCAGACCCCAGAGCAGGAGCTCCATTATGCATCTCTACAGAAGCTGCCGGTGTCCAGCAGTGACATCACAGACAAAGAGGAGGGCGAAGGCATGAAGGAGGACCCCAGCACTGACTATGCCTGCATCGCCAAGAACAAACCCACCTGAGTACCCCAAAATGCCTCCCCCGACCTGGGTGGATGGTCAAAGTCACCCTGTGTTCGCTTAGTAAAGACTGGTTCCCTACTTCTGTGTCAGATTCTCCGTAAGCCTCCAGTCCATGGCTCACCCTCCCACCCGCTTGGGGTCAGTAGTCACTCAGTGAGGAAGGAACCCCAGCTTCTCTAAAAGCCAGTAAACAGCTTGTGGTCACCAAGGTACAGTTGACAAGGGGTCAAATCGGCTGTGACAATCCTTGTTTCTCAGCTGCTGCAGCCGTAGCCTCAGAGCCCAGGGCAGGCGGGTGTGGTGTGGTGGTGGGAGGCGGCTCTAAGCACTAAGACCAGCAAGTAGAAAGGTCTCCGGACCCTTCTGTGTCAGTCCTGGTGGAAGGGAGAGCTAAGAGTTGGGGGAGGGGCTGTGGAGAGAAGCACAGAGGGTGTCCGGAAGAACGAAGAAAATACTTGAGAGTCCTAAGTAGGAGCGAGGAGCAGGTACGGATTTATTGCTGGTCTTTGAGAGTGCTGGGTCACTGAGATTTAGAAATCACTCCTCACAGGCTGTCGGAGGTGTGCTCCCACGTGACAGGGGCCTGGGGAGAAGTAGAGGGTCTGCTCAGAGCTGCAGTCCGGAAGCTCTTCTTGCACTCTGTTCCTCCCACTTCTGCCACCAATGCCCCCGCTCAGCAACTCACATTTGCCCTGATAATAGAGGGTACTGCCCGTGGCCACAGAGAGAAAGCTGAGGGCATAGAATGCAGCCCGGAGGAGGAGACTTGTGTGGGCTGCTTGCTCTGAGCCGGAGGCTTGCTGAGGAGGCTCTGCAGCAGGAAGTGGAGAGGGGGGAGCTCGGGAACTCAGAGCTGGGGGGGACAGTCCTTAACTCCCAGGAACATTGCATCTTGGGGTCTCCCACCACCTCACCTTTCTCCACCACCAGCCGAGAACCGTTTCCTGTTCCGACGCCCAGGCCTAGCACCTCCACCCTGCACACATAGATTCCGGTGTCATGGCTTCGGGCGTCCTGTATGAGCAGCTCTGCCGTGTGGTCCCTGGTGAATTGGGGGACAGCGGCGAAAGAGGCCACACGGCCCGAGAACTCTGGGGTCATGTTGCTCACCTCCATCCCCGGGGCCACTTTGTCTTGGTACCATGTGACAGAGCCAATGGCCACCGTCCCTTGGCTGGCATTGAAAGAGCAGGGCAGGAGGGCAGTGGTGCCCTCCCGGGCACGAATCTCAGGGGGGCTGAGACACCCAGAGAGCACAGGATCCTGGGGAGAAAGCAAATATCCAGAGAGCACCTACCCAGTTACTCCAAATAGAAAAGCATTGAAGGACACCCCAGCTCTCCTCAGGAGGGTGTGTCAGGACCAGCACCCTGGAGTGTCTCATTAAACCTTTTCCTCTTCGCTAATTTAATTCCTTAGTTTTCAGATTCTTTCACACACCAACTCCCGCCCACAGACAGCCCACCTTTAGAAATCCAGTTTGCCCACGTGATCCTTGCGGTATACTTGAAGCATAGGGATGAATGCAGCTGCCCAGCTAAGTAACACCATTGTGTTATCACCCCAGGTGTTACTGCTGTGATGGGAGTTGGTTTTCGCCTTGTTTGCTAGGGTTTTGTTTTGTTTTGATCTTTGTTTTCTGTACACCTGACCCACAAACACGGATGCAGGCAAAACACCAATGCACGTAAACTAAATTCACTTTTTTAAAGTTTTGGTTTTTTGTTTTGTTTTGTTTCGAGACAGGGTTTCTCTGAGTAATAGCCCTAGCTGTCCTGGAACTCTCATTGTAGAACAGGCTGGCCTCAAACTCACAGAGATCTGCCTGCCTCTGCCTCACGAGTTAAAAAAACATTTCATGACATGTGTATGGGCATTTTTCCTGCATATGTGTTTGTACCCACAGAAAGCATTGGATCCTGTGGAACCCGAGTTACAGATGGTTATGAGCTGCCTTGTGGATGCTGGGGGTTGAGGCTGTGCACTCTGGAAGCAGCCAGTGATCCCCAAGTGTCCCTAACCATTGAGCCATCTCTCCATTGCCCCCCAGTGCTCCCCAAGTGTCCCTAACCATTGAGCCATCTCTCCATTGCCCCCCCCCCCCCCCCCCCCACCGCTTTGAAACAGGGTTTCATGTGGCCAGCTTTAGCCTTGAAGTCATCACACAGCTGAGAACGGCCTTGAATTTCTGATTCACTTGAGTGCCTGGATACAGGCATGTGCCAGCCACCATGCCCAGTTTGTGCAACTCCTGGGATCCAACCCAGGGCTTTGTGCATGGTAAGCAAGCACTGGGCCACATCCTCAACCCAATTTTTAAAAATTTATTTATTTTTATTTTTATGTGCGTAGGTGTTTTACCTGTATGTGTATCTCTGTGAAGGCTTCAGAACTCCTGGAGCTGGAGTTACAGACAATGGTGAGCTGCATTGTGGGTGCTGGGAATTGAGCCTGGGCCCTCTGGAAGAGCAGCCAGTGCTCTTACCTGATGTGCCATCCCTCTAGGCCCAGTCCAATTTTTTAACACCAAATTTCACTATGTAGCACAGGCTGGCCAATAACAACTTCTTCTCATCCTCTTCCTTTTTTTTTTTTTTTTTTTTCTGAAACAGGGTTCCTTTTTATAGCCCTGGCTGTCCTGAACTCTCTCTGCAGACCAGCCTGGCCTCGAATTCAGAGATCCTCTTTTCTCTGCCTCCTGAGTGCTGGGATTAAAGTCGTGTGCCACCACTGCCCGGCCTCACCTGGAAATTTATGTTGTTAATGCTCTAATGAGAAAAAAAGTAGTGATACAAGAAGTTACTGGCAAGCCGGGTGGTGGCACACGCCTTTAACCCCAGCACTCGGGAGGCAGAGGCAGGCAGGTCTCTGAATTCCAGGCTAACCTGGTCTACAAAGTGAGTTCCAGAACAGCCTGAGCTGTTACACAGAGAAACCCTGTCTCAAAAAATAAACAGAAAAAAAAAATCCAGGTGAAGATACGTCTATAGTTGTTTGAGAACTCTAACATGTCCACACTGATGAATTAAACCCATTGTTAGAGTCTGTGATTGATTTTTTTTTTTTAAAACTAGGGACATTTACTGGTCATTCAAATGCAGTGGTTCTCAAACTGGAGAGTGTATTGGAATTATCTGAAAAGTTGTTTGTTTGAGGCAGGATCTCACTATGTTACCCTGGCTGTCCTGAAACTCACTATATAAGCTGGTATCAACTCATAGGACTCTACCTGCCTCTGCCTCCTGAGTGCTGGAATTAAAGGCGTGAGTCACCCCCCCCCCCCAGCTTGCTTTCCTTTCCTTTTTTTTTGAAGCTAAGGTCTTGCTTTGATATCTTTGGGTCCAACCCATCCCCCTGCCTCTGTCACTTAAGCAGCTGGAAATAAAGTCACTACCTTAAAGTGTTTGTTAAAGCAATAGAGTAGGGGGACTGGAGAGACGGCTCAGCAGTTAAGAACACTGGCTGATCTTCCAGAGGACCCAGGTCCTGTTCCAAGCATCCACATGGTAGCTCACAACCATCTATAACTATCTATAACTCTGGTTCCAGCTGCTTTAATATCTTCTTATCTTCTTCTGGCTTTCTGGCCTCCTAGGGCACCAGGCATGCATGTGATGCATAGACATAAATGCAAGGCATAATGTTCATACACATAAACTAAAATTAAAAAAGAAATTACAGCCGGGCGGTGGTGGTGCACACCTTTAATCCCAGCACTTGGGAGGCAGAGGTAGGCGGATCTCTGTGAGTTCGAGGCCAGCCTGGGCTACCAAGTGAGTTCCAGAAAAGGCGCAAAGCTACACAGAGAAACCCTGTCTCGAAAAACCAAAAAAAAGAAAGAAATTACAGTAGCAGGCCAGGTGTGGTGGCGCCTGCCTTCAGTTCCAGCACTTAGCAGAGGCAGGAGGATCTCTGTGAGTTTGAGGCCAGCCTGATCTACATAGAAAGTTCCAGAACAGCCAGAGCTACATAGAGAGACCCTGTCTCAACACCCTCCCGCCAAATTATAGTAGCTGGGTGTGAGGGCTTATAACACCAGCACTTTTGAGTTAGAGGCAGGAAAATCAGGAATTCAAGGTCATCCTGGGCTACATATTGATTTAATTTTTTTTTTTATTTAAAAGTATTTATTTTTATGTGTATGGGTGTTTTGCCTACATGTATGTCTGTGTTCCACATGTCTACCCACTGCCTGTGGAGGCCAGAAAAGGTGTCAGATCCCCCAGAACTGGAGTTAGGGATGGTTGCTAGCCACCATATGGGTGCTGGGAGTTGAACCTGGTCCTATGGAAGAGCGGCCAGTGCTTTTAACTGCAGAGTCATGTTTCTAGCCCCTACATATTAATTTTAAAACTAGACTGGGCTATTTTAGATCCTATCTCCTGAATAAACATTACATCAAAAGATAACTGTGAGTTGAGCATGATGATCTAGGCCTGTTATCCTGGCTGGCACTCTGGAGCCTAAGCCAGAGTACCTCCAAAGTTCCATTATCAGCTCAACTATATAGAGAGTTGTAGACCATCCAGGGCAACATAGTGAGACCTTCGTTCAAAACAGAAAAAAAAAACAAACAATCAATCCATTAATCAATCAGTAGAACATTACCATGGGCCGGCCCACTAGAGATCTGCAGAAGAGCTGGAGAATTTGCCCAATGGTCCCAGCACTGATGATCTTGGGTCTGCGATCTACAGTTTGGAAATCACTGTCTGTACTCAATGAACATAGCTTTTTATAGTCTTCTGATTAACTAAAATGTTTCAGTTAAAAAAAATAAATTTACCTTAGACATAAGTCTCTCAAACTCCTAATTATATATTTGTACCCTATCTAATAAACTTAACAATCTAATAGACCTCATACATCAAGTTAAATCCTCAAGGAAGAAAATCAGAGTGACTAGAAGGCTTAGCTGGTAAAGGCACTGGCCACAGAGCCTGAGGACCCAAGTTCAAGTCCCAGGACCCACGTAGCAGAAGGAGAACAGGTTATTCTTTGATCTGTGCAAGCCTTGACTGGTGTGTGTTCCCCTCCAAAACAAGTTGATGTACTTTTAAAAATTAAAAAAATCAACGAAAGAAAACCAGCTGAGTGTGTTAGTACAAACCCAGAATCTCAGCGTTCAGGAGGCTGAGGGACTCAGAGGCCTGAAAGGTCAGGGCCAGGCTGGGCTACACAGCCGGGGCTGGGGGTTAACTCATTTGGCAGTATGCACAAAGCCCTGGCTTCGATCCCCAGCACCGTGAGTCATGGTGTACCACTGTGATCCTAGGACCTGGGAGGTGGGCATGAGAGAACCAGTTCAAGGTCATCCTTCGCTATGGATGGCTAGGCTACTGGCCTGTCTCAGAAACAAACAAGCAAAGATAACACTGATAGCCAAACTCAAAATGCCATCCCTCCTTTTCCATCCTTTTTCCTAGGGCCTTTCAGGTTTCGCTTTCTTGAAGGAGGCTGAGAACAAAGGTTCTGGAACGGATGATAGAAATGACCCTTTCGGGTGGGGGGCAACCTAGCAGGTCTGTCTTTTGAAAGAGCCCACAGGCGACAGCTTTCTAAACTGCTTTCTGCACCCTTCAGGGCACAGTGTTCAGCCCTCACCAGGCACCCTCTGGAGCATCTGAGTCCCCACCTCTTCCTTTACTCCCCCATCCCCACACCCCAGGTCCCGTGCAAACTCCCGGTCACCTGGATAAACTGCGATGCAGATGAGCAACAGCACCTTGGTCATGTCTGTGGTTGGTGAGGCAGACCTCATCAGGGAGGTCTAAGGAGAGGAAGAATGACCAACTCCTGATGCCTAGGACAAGCAGGGCTCACATATGACTCGCCAAGGACCTCCACCGCTTGGGGCTTTGAGCATCTCTGCATGTCCTGATAAGGAGGGGGATGCCTGGGGCTCTCTGGAGGCAGCTAGTGGTCAGGTGGTATATACTAGGACAGGATGTCCTCACATGTCTGATTTTACAAGAGTGGGTGGGTGAGACCAGGATGTGGTTCTCTCACCTTCTGAGGTTCAAGACCAGACCTTCACCCAGAACAAAGCTCCAGCCGAGAAGCTAGCCCTCCTTCCTCCCCGCTGGGCTGCCCTAGGATTTCTATAAATGCGGGGATAAGGGGAGCAAGCTATTGGCAGTGGTGGGTGTGAGGTTACGGGGGCTGTGTCTGGAAGCTTCATTTGTACAGTTGCACCTATTCCCCCAGCAGAGGGGGGACAGAGGAGTGTTATTAATGGATAGGTTTGGCTCATTCGTTTTCACATTTCCTGGAAAGGGACATTCCCAGCAGGTCTGCTTTACTGTGCCTGCTACACAGACTTACCCATTGGGAAATCCACTCTTTTGTTATTTTATTGACGGTTTAACCACATTTATTGGGAATCTACAAAGTGCCCCTATGTTTTTCACAGGCACAGTGGCGGACATCTTGTTACCTATAACTTCAGGCCCCACCGGTGCCAGTGTCCCCTGGTATGTGCTTCACAGGCCCACAGGAGGTGACATAGCACCTGGAAGAGAGGCCTTGGTGGAGTGTGCTGTGCGAGACATGGGCCTCTCCATCCATGCTGCCTCCTTTTGTTTTCTCAAGATGTGCGTAGAGGTCAGAGGACAACCTGTGGGAGTGGGTTCTCGATTTCCTTCATGTGGGTCCTAAGAATAGAAGTTAATCAGTCTTGGCGGCAAGGGCCTTTACCCACAATCTTGCTATCCCCATCTTTTTTTATGTTTAGTTTTTTTATTTTTAAATTTAGATTTATATGTATGTTTTGCCTGCATGTATACATGTGCACCATGTGCATGCCTGATGCCCATGGAAGTGAGAAGAGGGCACCAGATCCTCTGGCACTGGAGTTATAGATGGTTGTGAGCCACCACGTAGGTGCTGGGAATTGAAGCCCATCCTCCACAAGAGCAGCAAGTGCTCTTGACTGCTGAACCGTCTCTCTAGTCCTTAACCCCATCTTTTAAACTAATAGGTTTGTCCCTCTCTTTGTGCATAGCTCTGTCCTGCAACAAGTTGTCCATTTGCTCCCCACCCACTTGACTTTCTGTTGCAGCAATAACCTCATTAAGACTGACTTAGCCCAGCAGCTGCCGCATACACCTTTAATCCCAACACTCAGGAGACAGAGGCAGGCGGATCTCTGAGTTCGAGGCCAGCCTGGTCTACAGCGTGAGTTCCAGGACAGCCAGGGCTACACAGGGAAACCCTGTCTTGAAAAACCAAACAAACAAGACGGGCTTGGAGTACCTCCAGTGCTCTGTCCCAAACTACTCTCTTAGGCACCTGGACAACCACACGGGTCACACAATCTGGGAAGGGCCCACTGGGTCATCTGGCAACCAGTGAGCTGTGGAGAAGCCGCCCCACTAAGGCAACTAAGTGGAGGGTGTGAGACCCAGGTGCCGTGGGCAGTTACGTGCTGCCCCCTGCTGGCGACAGAGCCTGGGACTGTCGGCATTTAGGCTAGGCTCCATTGAGCCTCTATTCCGTGATCTCATTCCCAGCCCCAAGAGTCAGTGTGAAGAATACTGTCTTCTTCACCATAAGCCCATCGTTTGGGAAGGGAGGGGAGGCACAATGGCCTTTTGATTTGACATGAAAGATGCATTTTCTTATCTTTTGAGTTTTATTTTTATGTGTAAGGGTGTTTTGTCTGAAAGTATGTCAGGCTACCACGTGTGTGCCAGATGCCCAGAGGCCAGCAAAGGGCACAGGATGCCCTGGGAGTGGAGTTACAGGGAGTTGTGAGTTGCCATATGGGCTCTGGGATTCAAACCTGGGTCCTCTGGAAAAGCAGCAGGTACTCCTAAGTGCTGAGCTGTCTGGCTGTCTGTCTGTCCAGCCCCCAAACTATATCTTCACAGTGCACACTCAGACACAGGGCAGCATTCCATGACTCACGGAATAATGGTTTACAAGTCAAGTCATTCTGAGCTGGACTCTGTATCGACTACTTGTATGCACATCTGTAAATCGGGAGACTCATCCATGAACTTACAGACTCCCCATGCTAGGTACTCAGTGTGTATAGGACTCTTTCCTCCCACTTGGGCTGGTGTGATCCGGGAGATGGCTGGGCCTAAACACAAGGGAACTCTGCTCTCCCCTTCTCTTTTTGCCACCCAAGACTTTCAACCCTCTTGCCATGGTGATGAATTCTGGAGACATTACTTGAATGTTTTTTTGTTAGTCCATGTCTTAGTCAGGGTTTCTATTGCTGTGATGAAACGCCATGACCAACAGAAACATGGGGAGGAAGAGTTCATCTGGCTTATGCTTCCACTGTTCATCATCCAAGAGAGTCAGTCAGGAATGACACAAGACAAGAACCTGAAGGCAGGAGCTGATGCAGATGTCATGGAGGAGTGCTGCTTACTGGCTTGCTCTCCATGGCTTGCTTGCTCAGCCTGTGCTCTTATAGAACCCAGGACCACCAGCCCAGGGATGGCACCACCCACAACAGGCTGGGCTCCCCTATCAATCACTAATTAAGAAAAAGCCTTAGAGGCTTGCCTGCCTACAGACTGATCTTCTGTAGGCATTTTCTAAGTTAAGGTTCCCTTCTCTCAGATGATTTTGGCTTGTGTCAAGTTGGCATAAAACTACCCAGGGCAAGCCAGATGGTGGTGGCACACGCCTTTGATCCCAGCACTTGAGAAGCAGAGACAGGCGGATCTCTGTGAGTTGGAGGCCAGCCTATTCTACATAGTGAATTCCAGGACAGGCTCCAAAGCTACAGAGAAACCCTGTCTCAGGGAAGGAAAAAACAAACAAAAACTATCCAGGGCAATCCATCTAGAATAAATCATGGCATATGTGTATTCAAAAACAACTTTCACTATCTCTGAAGCTTTCTAAGGTCTTTAATAGTTATCTATCTATCTATCTATCTATCTATCTATCTATCTATCTATCTATCTATCTACTTGAGACAGAGTCCTAACTATGTAGTTCTTGGCTGGCTTACAACTCTCTCTGTAGACCATGGTGGCCTTGAACTCAGAGAAATCCACCTGCCTCTGCCTCAGTGCTGTGAGTAAAGCTGTGAACCACCACACCCAGCCTTCAATTTGATTTGTTTGCTTTGTTTTTCAAGACAGGGTTTCTTTGTTAGCCCTGACTGTCTTGGAACTCACTTTGTAGACCAGGCTGGCCTCCAACTTACAGAGATCTTCCTGTCTCTGCCTTCCGAGTGCTGAGATGAAAGGTGTGCACCACCACCTGGCTATCAATTTGATATTTGAGTTAATTGACACATCTCACTCTGTAGCCCAGATATTTGAAACTTGAGTATGTAGACCATGTTAGCCTCAAATTTCCAGCAACCTCTTGAATTAAAAAATGAGTTCTTGGGGTTAGAGAGATAGCTCAGTCAATAAGTGCATTGGCTGCTCTTCCAAAGAACCAATGTGGTCCATGGCAGCTCACATCCTCATGTTACTTGAGGGTATCCGACATCCTCAGTTGGCCTCTGGAACAGAATCGGTACATAGACATAGACATGCAAAGACCTCACACACATTTAAAAAATTTATTATTCACACTGAGCACTGATGCTCTGTCCTGTATGTCTTTATTAACAATGATCTTCAGAGTCAGACATGGTAGCGCTGAATTCAAATCACAGCTCTTGGGGGGCTGAGGCAGGAAGATCACTTGCTCAAGGTCAGCTTCCAGGCCAGCCTGGGCTACATGAGTCCTTTCTCAAGAGAATGAAAAGAAGAGAACAAGTTGTACATCTTTTTCATCACAGATCACTTGAGATTCATCCTATGGGCTACAGAAACCTGAAAGATATCTTGGCAGAGCACCTGCCTAAAGAGGAGTGCTGGCCTTAGGGGAGGTTTGGGCCACTGTGACCTCATGGAAATGCAGCCATGGTGACAGGCACATCAGTGTCCTCCATCCTACTGTCTCCCTGCCAGAAGCTCCTCCATAGCCCCCAAACCAACTGGAAGCCAGACATACCCTCTGATGTGGTCTGCACAGGTTAGTCTCCTGGGCAAAGAACAGAGCTGGAGAGGGAGAATGAAGGGTAAATAGAAGATTCTCAGGGTCCCTACACGCACGCACGCACGCACGCACGCACGCACGCACGCACGCACGCACACACACACTCTGGCCAGTGCATTCTTTTCCAGGCAGCATAGTTATGGGCCTAACTCTAGTCATTCCCCCTAGAGAGCACAGAACCATAACAAAGGCCCTTAGCAACAGAAGGCCCTTAGCAACAGTGGTCTCTAATCTCACAGGGTTCTAACAGAACCTTCTCCATCCCCATCACAAGTCTCTTCTGGTACATTTTGTTTTGGGGTTTTGGTTTTTTTCTTAAATTTATTTATTCTGTGTCTGTCTGTGAGTGAGTGCATGCCTGGAGGGGTCAGAGGTCAACTTTCTGTTCTTCCTTCTTTCTACCGTGTGGGCTCTAGGCTTCCCCACTCACGCCTTCGTGCCTGGTGGCAAGCATGGTAACTCAGCTAGCCATGTTTGCAGACCAAGTCTCAGGCTGGCCTAGAACTCCATTAAGGCTGCTTGCCTCAAACCTTCTGCACCCTGACTCAGCCTCCCCAGTGCTGGGAAATGGTCCTGCACCTCCAGCTGACTCCCTTTAGTCTTTCATGACCTCCTCCAAAGCTTTAGTTCAACTTCATCTGCACCTGATCTCAAAGCTGCTCCACAAAGACTCCAGCCACGAAGACTGCTTTTCCCCAAGGCCTCTCAGTTTGTGCTCCTCATACTCTTCCCCATATTACACTAAGATAAAGAACCTCCCTTCACTTCTTGGACAAAGCTCCTAAAAGCCCTGCAATTTCCTGAGTGATAAAGGCTTAAAAGGGCATCTTCTGTGTATTATAGTAAGACTCTTTCCACTGGCTTAAGCCAACAGGGTTAACTTTTGGAAAGTCCCAAGGGCAGGGATGGGGAAGGGGCTAGAACTTTTAACTCAACTGGTTCTTAGCCAATAGCTAATGATTTAATGGCTCATCCCAGCATGATGACAGTCCTTAACACCCCCAAAAGATGGAGTCAGAGAAGGTGGTGCCCAAGGACATGGAAGCTCCAGACCCATCTCCCCAGCACCTTCTCTCTCTTATCTGTTCCATCTGGCTTATCTGGCTATCACTGTTAGATACTTTATAATAGTGAACCAGCAAATGTGGGCAAGGTGCTTAACCTTAGCCCTGTGAGCCAGCCCAGCAAATTACCAAAGTTGAAGAGGGGCTTGTCGTGTCCTTGATTTATAAAGCTGGTGGTGCCTAAGACTTGAGGCCTGGACTCAAGGCCAGCATCTTAACCTGGAGCCGTCTTGTTGGATAGAGCCCCTCCACATGGAGGCCTGGCAGGCAATGTCAGCCATGAATTACACTGTAGGACACTTGATCAGTTTTCACCAGGAACTGGGGAACTGGTTGGTGTGGGAAGAACCTTCCCATGAAGTGCTGTAACTGGGGAACTGGTTGGTGTGGGAAGAACCTTCCCATGAAGTGCTGTAACTGGGGAACTGGTTGGATCCGACTCCTGCAAGTTGTCCTTTGACCTCCATACACATCCTGTGGCATGCATGCCTGCACACACCAAAAAATTAGGATCAAATTAAAAGAAACACAGTGTACTTTGTCCTTTTTTACCCAAACATCTCTTGCATCTCTGAGAGTCACTTTCTCAGAGCCATCTCCCCTGAAATGCTATCCAAACCTGCCCTCTACACACAGTGCTCTGCAGACCACGAGAGCAGACTTCTCGCCCGTTGGTTCACCAGGCCTAGCAGTGCTGCATGAACATGGCTAGAGATGTGTCCCCACCAGACACTGAGAGTGCCTGGAAGCCAGGGCTGCACCGCTCTCTGGGGGAGGGCAGCTGAACCAAGGCAGGCAGGAGGCTGGAGTCTTTTGCTAATCTCTCCCCTCACCTGGGTCGAGGAGAGGCTGAGTGGATACTGCCTGCGGGGAAGGGAAGGGTCAGAGTGAGTTGGGTTCGCAGCCCTGCCTCCCCTGTGACCCAGTGACTGAAGTGAGGAAGGCTATTCCTGGGAGGGCATTTACATGAGGTTTGGACCCCTGCTCAGCGTAGGGTGGAAGTGGGAAGTGGCTCAGTCCACTGTCCTTGTCTCACTTTCTGTTCCTCCAAAGTGTCTCCGTAAATGCTCAAATGCCTTTCTAGATTCTACTGCAGATTTCAAGGTGAGGCAGGAGGGCAGTGCTGCAGATCCTGAAGCCAGCAAACCAAAGTGCTTCTGGGACAGGTTTCATGTGTTCCAGTGCTCTCTGGAGCCCCTCAGAGAGCTGGCTCTTTCCTTTTCCAGGCCCTGGCCTCACTCAGCTCACTCCACGCCTGGATCAGACTGCAGACTTCAGCCTCTCTCTTCCATAAGGGAGAAAGTCAGCCAGCCCTCCTCAGCTGCCTGTCTTAACCTGCCTGCATCATGAAGCCTGAGGAAATTTCAAGTAACTCCCCCCACCCCCACCCCCAGGATCTGGGGACAGCCACTGTTTATTGATTCACCTCAGGATCTGAGGACAGCCACTGTTTCTGTTTATCACTTCTTTGGTTCTGGTTTTCATTTGAGACAGGTTCTTATTATGTTGGCCTGGCTGGTCTTCAACACCCAGGATCCTCCAGCCTCAACCCCTCTCAGATGCTGGGATTGCAGGCCTAGGGTACCATGCTTGGTACCCTCAGATCCCAGTACCCTTCTATACCTTCAGGAGCTGATCAAAGTCTTTCTCCCATGTACAGTCTGCTCTTTTAGAGAAATTGTGTGGAGCTAGGTGTGGTGCAGGGTTGCAGTTCCAGCCATTTGGGAGGCTGAGGCAGGACAGCTGCTTGAACTCAGGCACCTGGACAATATAATGAGACCCTGCCCACACACCAAAAAAAGCAATTTATCAGCATGTTATTTTTCATCCCCCTTTTAAACCCTCTCTGCCTTCTTCATGGGGTGCTGGTGTCAGCAGAAGTCATGGGGAAGTGATGCCTGGGAGTTAGTAGAGGAGGAATGAGTAGAAAGGGGAAGTATGAGAGAGGTCCCAGAGGAGACTGTGGAAGGACGAGCAGGCAGACAGAGAGACTCATCTCCCCACCTAAGACCACCAGCATCTGCTGAGCCATGAGCCAAAGCAAGGACTTGCAGGGTAGGGTAGATGGACCATACAGCATCATGAACCAGGGGCCAGGACGAGTCAGGCCTGGGGTGGGGAAACAGGGGGGCTGCCAGAGGATCTCAGTGGGCAGAACTTGGGTAACCCTCGGGCTGGGCATGGGGAGCAGGAAAGGAAGGGAGGGCTGGTAAACCTCTGTACCCCTTAGGAGGAAAAGCTTTTGGACTACGCAAGGCCCAGCAGGAGGAGGGGCTGAATGAGATCAACAAGGTAAGAGAAAGAACCAAGGGGTGGAGTCTGGAGGCTCCCAGGCTGAGAGGGATGACCCTGGCTCTGATCTCCCCAACAGCAATTCCTGAATAATCCTAAATACTGCAGTGATGAGGACCTGCCCTCCAAATTGGAAGCCTTCAAGAGTGAGGAGAAGTGTGGGTGGAGAGGGAAGCTAGGGGGGGGGGTGTCGACAAGCATGGGGGTTCAAGGCCAGCAAACACTGACTTTTGTGGTGGAAGCGGGAAGGCTGCTTCCACGTCTCTCCCTCCCATTCGTGGTCCTTTCCCTGCCCGTCTTAGCACCCCTCTAGGTTCCCTCCACCCTCACAGGGCCTCACAACCCACTATCCCCACTTCCTCTGTCTGCCCCCCCCCTCCCATGTCTTCTCCACTACCCTGGCATTGGTTAACTACCTCTTCCTTAAACCCCCATAACCAGCAATTACTCTGCTTTCTTTTCAAACCTAGATAAGTACATGGAGTTTGATCTGAATGGGAATGGAGATATTGGTGAGAAAAAGGGTGATTGGGGGGGTATGGAGACCTAGGCAAGTGGCAGTCTCTTCTACTAGCTCTGCCCTCTGTGGACAGGCAAAGGCCCAGCCACAATCGATAATACAAGGGTGGGGTATGGGAGCGTGGAGGTACAAGATGGCAGAGAGGGGACCCTCCTTTCCCACCTTGGTTTTCCACCTTCAGATATTATGTCCTTGAAGCGAATGCTGGAGAAACTTGGGGTTCCTAAGACCCACCTAGAGCTAAAGAAATTAATTAGAGAGGTGTCCAGTGGCTCCGAGGAGACGTTTAGCTACTCTGACTTTCTCAGAATGATGCTGGGCAAGAGATCCGCCATCTTGAGAGTGTGAGCATCCAGTTCCAACCTCCTTGAACTTCCCTGTCTTCTCCATCCCTAGCCCTAACCTTGTCCCCAGCAACCACCCTTCCTTCTTCTTAGAGGGTAGAGGGTCTCTTCCAAGACCCTTCACTCCCCCAACCCATCCACAGCTCCGGTCCCCACAGCCCACAGCACTGTCTTCCCGGCCCTTCCTCTTCCTCCCCTTCTCAACTCTTACAGCAACCTAAGATTCACTCCCTTGAGAGATGTGTCCCTGATGCCTGTGTCTCTTCCAGGATTCTGATGTATGAGGAAAAAAACAAAGAACACCAGAAGCCAACTGGTCCCCCAGCCAAGAAAGCTATTTCTGAGTTGCCCTAATGGAGGTGGATGTGCACATGGTGGGACTGAAGGGGCCGTCGAACGACAGCAGCACGGAAAGAAGTAGTTGTGAGCCAGAGTCAAACTAAATAAATAATGCTCCCTACCGGGTCAAGTCAGCTTCGCTCTTCCTGGGGACACCTGGCCTGGGTCTGGGGAGGAAGGAAGCACCTTTGCCCCAATAATCCGTCTGTTCAATACTCAATGGGTTTGCTGTAGCGGGTAGTTCTTTGTACTGAGGGGAGATTGCAGAGTTCCAAGACAGCTTTGGCTGGAAAGAATAGAGGTATGTGCCTGGTGGTGGGGGCGTAGGCCTTTAATCCCAGCACTTGGGAGGCAAAGGCAGAGGCAGAGGCAGAGGCAGGTGGATCTCTGTGAGTTCAAGACCAGCCTGATCTACAGAGTGAGTTCCAGGACAGCCAGGGATACACAGAGGAACAATGTCTTCAAAAACAAAAAAAATAAAACAAGAAGTGAAGTTAACCTTGACTGAGTCTTCATCTCCACCTCTGTGACCCCAACAAATCACACAGCTTCTCAGGCTTAACTTTGAAAATGGGAATGAATGAGAACTAAGCTTTTTGTTTGTTTATTTTTTGAGACAGCATCTCTCTGCATAGCCCTGGCTGTCCTGGAACTTGCTCTGTAGATCAGGCTGCAGCCCCAGCACACAGAGCCTCCCAGGGGGCTCTTCACAGAGGTGAAGTGAGGGAATGTCCTTTTCGGTAATTCCCATAGAGAGCTCCAGTAACTGTGTAAAACTTCAGGTAAGGGTGGAGGGCTAGAACAAGGCTCAGCAGTTAAGAGCATATGCTGCTCTTGAAGAGGACCAGGGCTGGGAATGAAGCTCAGAGGCCTAGCATACACCAGTCTTTAAGGTCAAGCCCCAGACCAAAAAGACCAGGATTTGGTTCCTAGCACTGTGGAGCTCAGTGACTCCAGTTCCAGAGGTTCTGATATCCTCTTCTGCTTTCTGTGGGCACTGCACTCATGGACACCCCACATACACAAATACACATAATTAAAATAAAAAGAATAAGCCATAGCCGGTGGTGGTGGCACACACCTTTAATCCCAGCACTCAGAAGGCAGAGGCAGGTGGATCTCTGAGTTTGAGGCCAGTCTGGTCTACAGAGCGAGTTCCAGGATAGCCAGAGCTACACAGAGAAACCCTGTCTCAAAAAACCAAAACGAAAAAAAAAAGACTAAGCCAGGCGTGGGTGGTGCACACCTTTAATTCCAACCCTCAGGAGGCAAGGGCAGGCATATCTTCTGTGGGTCTGAGGCCAGTCTGATCTATATAGTGAGTTCCAGGCCAACAAGGATGACAAAGTAGTTTGAACACAAATATACCTCACACATACAAATTATATTGGTGCTGAGAATTAAACATTCTTTATCACAAAGCTACACTTCTAACTACGGCTGAAATTTTTTAAACTAATTTTTGATTGTGTATACGTATGTATGTGAGTATGTGCACCAGTGCCTAGGGTTCATGACCCTTCTGCTTCAGTCTTGGAAGTGCTGGGATCAAGGTACCAATCTTCTATCTAGATAACTATTAGCAGGCAAGAAGCTCTTTAAATGCCTGTTTGGCTGATTTTGTCTCGCTCCTTGTTTGGTGGCAGCAAGTGGCGCCCTCTAGTGTAAAGCTCAGATATAGCTCTTGTAGGGTTGAATCAGGGCTCTTCTCGACACTTGGCAGATGAGCCTAAGATCCTTCAGCCCTTGAGACCAGGCAGTAACACAGCTGTTGGCAAGGCGTGTCCAGGACCCGTCCTGAAAACTTGACAGCTCTCTTGGAAATATTATTATTTTTTTTTATTTTTTTATTTTTTTATTTTGGTTTTTCGAGACAGGGTTTCTCCTTGTAGTTTTGGTGCCTTTCCTGGAACTCACTATGTAGACCAGGCTGGCCTCGAACTCAGAGATCCATCTGGCTCTGCCTCCTGAGTGCTGGGATTAAAGGCATTCGCTACCACTGCCCGGACTCTCTGGAACTCTTACAGTGACAGGGGCCTGCAGTTTCTCCTCTCTGGCTCTTTTATTTATTTATTTATTTTGGTTTTTGAGTTAGGGTTTCTCTGTGTAGAGCAGGCTGTCCGTGAACTCGCTGTGAAGACCAGACTGGTCTTGAACTCACAGAGATCCACCTGCCTTTGCCTCCCAAGTGCTGGTATTAAAGGTGTGCACCACCACCGCCCAGACTTTATTTTTAATTATTACTTTATATATACAAATGTTTTGCCTTCTTGTAAGTCTATGCACGTGTCCCTGGTGCCCAGAGGCCAGAAGAGGGCATCAGATCGATCCCTGGAACTGGAATTATAGCCTGTTGTGAGCCACCATGGGTGCTAGGAGTTGAACCCGGGTCCTCCATAAGGGTGCGGCAGTGGCAGGTGTTCTTAACCTCTGAGCCATCATCGATCCAGCTTTTTTTTTTTTAATTGAGATAACATCTTACTATCCAGGTTGGTCTGGAACTCATAAAGATCTGCCTGCCTCTGTGGGATTCATGGTCATGGGGTGTGTCGCCAGCTCCTCTGGTTCACTATAGTTTTCTATTCTTTGGCCTCGGCTCTCCATCCTTTACGCTCCTGCTCTTCCCCTTGTTCCTGCCTCCATGCTCTCTCACACTGAACAGCTGCCTCCTCCTTAGCTGCCAGGCAGCTGGCCTCTGCCATTCAGTGCTGCTTTCCACACTGCCAGCTCAGCCCACACCACGGAAAGTAGGCAAGAAAAGATCACCAGAGAGGAGTCCTTAATTGGGCCCTATGTTCTGACACTGAGGGAGGCAGCACTCCTGTGAGTGCTGTGAGCAACTTCCAAGTGAGCCAAATGCCTTTGCTTACATCCCCAGGGAAGGGTAGCACCAATCACAGCAAACCTCTCATGACAATGATTCAAACTGCAAAACTCCCAGAATCGTCCCTTTAACACCAGTCACAGCAGCGTCTCTGCCAGGCCACTAAAGGTAGTGCTCTCTGCTGGGGATGTCTTTCTGGATGCTGTGAATGTGTGTTGCTCTGATTTGGGTGATAAATAAAACGCTGGTTGGCCAGTAGCCAGGCAGGAAATATAGTGTAGGTGGGACAAGCAGAGAGAATTCTGGAAAGAGGAAGGCTGAGTCAGGAGTCAGTTGCCAGCCAGACACAGAGGAAGCAAGATGACAAGGCAGAACTGAGAAAAGTGGCCGCAGGGCCGCGGGTGAGAGAGATTTGTCCTGACCGTGGGTCAGGTGGGACACAGGAAAACTTCAGCTACAGCTCCCTTTCTGGCCTCTATGGAAATGGCAGAAGATCATCTATGCCTGTGAGAGCAGAAAGTTCAGTACAAACTATTTGAAACAGCCCTGGCTGGGGCTCTACCTTCAGGGGCTGGAGCAATCAGCTGCGTTATTTCTTCCACACTGTGGAGTGTTCAAAAGAATGGAAGTTGGCAAAGAGTGGTCTGGCAAGCTTTTGATTGACAGACCTTCCTCTCAAGGAAGCCAGGGAAGGTAGGGAGAGAGAATCCAACAGGGCCAACTGGGGAGTCAAACTGTCCCATGCTCTGGCGTACAATAAAGACTTAAAGAACTTATTGATGGTACTTAATAACAATTGAAACAGTGCTTAGCACCCAGTGACCCAAGTAGGGTGTTTCAAGATTACAAGCACATAATTCTAAACTATGTCCTTCTAGCTTTTCGTCTCCGTTGTCTGTATTGGACAAGTGATTCCTTTATTTACCTACATCAGCTAGATACGGGCCTGCAAACCTTTGCTGCTACTCCTCTGTCTTTTGGACCTGAACTATATGTATTCTCTCAAAATGACTAAGATTTTCACCACATTTCAGTGTGTGTGTGTGTGCGCGTGCAAGAGAGAGAGAGAGAGAGAGAGAGAGAGAGAGAGAGAGAGAACGATGTGGGTACATATGGAGGCCAGAGGACAATCTTGGCTGTTTGTCATTCCTCAGAGGATGTCCACCAGGTCCACCTGTCCTCTGCAGCACTGGGATCACAAGGGGATGCCGAGTTCTACGTTTCTACCTCCCCCCTGCTCTCTCCATGTTTCCTGAGGTTTTCTAGAGCACTCTTTACCCTGCTCTCACCAGCAGTCAGCCGCTGGAGAGATGGCTCAGTGGTTAACAGCACTTGCTGTTCTTTCAGAGAACCTGGACTCGATTCCTAACACATCTGGGAGTTCAAACCACCTGTAACTCCAGTTCCAGGGGATCCAACATCCTTTTCTGAGGTCCACTAGGAACCCATGTGGTACAGATGTATACATGTAGATATCCATACACAGAAAATTAAAAAAAAATGAATCTAAGAAGCTTTTTCTGGGGTTGGAGAAATGGCTAAGTTTGGATCTCGTTACTCATGTATAGGCTGGGCGGATCACATCTGTCTGTAACTCCCGCACTAGGGTGCAGAGAGGGAGGATCCCTGGAGTTCACTGGCCAGTCCATCTGGAATCCCTGCTCACCTACCCAACTATCCAGATTCACTGGAAGAGTGTTTCAAAAATATGAAGTGTCTGGGGGAAGACCTCTGGATGTCAACCTCTGGCTTGCACAACCACCCATAAAGGCCAGTGCACCCCTCATATACATTAAAAAAATGAACAAGAAAATGTTGACTAGGTAGGCTCGGTGAGCGGCAAAGGATTTTACAGTCAAGTACTAAGAAACAAAGAGGGGAAACTGTACCACCTTTGAAACCTTTCATTGTTGAAAGAACACAAATTGCCAATAACGTTAACTATACAATTTTTTTTAAAATTACAGGGCATAAAATTAAATGTCCACCTTGGTTGTTCACGGCTAAAATTTGGAAGAGTAGGTCATTCCTAGTCTTTGTTCAAATGATTTGCATATATTATGCAAATACCCAGAACCCCTCGAAGAACGCCTACTCGGAGAAAGTCAATGATACTCTCTTCTGGACCCTTTCATTGGCTTGCCTACCCCCTTCATTTGCATGACGTGATTTAATGACTGGAAAGCCCGCCTCCCTGAAGCATTTACCTCTCCCGAATGGACGCCAGACCCGAGGCTCTTCCAGGGTCTATGTAAAGTCCGCCCTCGACTACGTAATCCCTTCCGCTCGTCGCAGTTCTTTCCTTCCCCTCGGCTGAAAGCGTCGAGGGCCTAGCATCGTTTTCCTGCGTCTCTCTGCCCCTCATCCTTCCGCGGACGCACCACGCATGCGCCGCCTCTTTCTCCCACCATCTGTCGTGTAAATTCTGCGCCCCAACGGCCCGGCGTTCCGCCCGGGCTACGCGTCTCAACTGCCGACGCCAAGGCGCCTCCCTAGCCAACCGGCGTCCTGGCGTCTGTAAGTCCCTCCCCTTTATGCAAATAGCCTCCACACGGCCTTTATTTTTAAAGTAGGGGACAGCCCTGAAGCGCGGAGGGGTCGGATAGGAAGGGACCCCGCCCTCTATGCAAATAAGGGGGCGTGTCCAGCCGCGGAGGGAGGCGGGAGGTGGGGGGGTGCTCCCGGGGGCGGCGGTTGCCCGGATGGGCCGTTAGTCGGAGCCCAGCCGCGGAGTGAGCGAGGGAGACGGGAGGAGCCGAGCGCGGCGCCATCCGCCGCCATCCGCCCCCGCCCCGCCGCCATCCGCCCCGGGGAGCCTCTAAGCCCGGGTCCCGGACCCCCGCGCACCCGGCCAGGTGAGTCTGGGCGAGCCGGGTGCTGACGCCCTTTCCGGCGCGGGGCGGCGGCGACGGCGGCGGCGGGCCGGGGGAGAAGCTGCCATCAGCCGCCGCCATCTTGTCCTCCTGCCGCCGGCCCGCCCCTCCCCCTCGGCCTGCGCCGGCCGCTCCCAGGCCGCCGTGGAGGGCCGGGGGCCGACCGCAGCCCCGCAGCCCGCTCCTCGGGGCGCGACCCCCGCTCCGGGCCGCAGTTCCGGCCCGCGTCGCGCCCCGGCCCCTCGGCCCTCCGCCGCCCGTGGCCCTCCCCTTTGAGGGTCCCTTCACACCACCGGACCCCTTCCTACCACCTGGCGCAGTGGGTCCCCTCGTTCTTGGGGTCTGCGTCGAGTCACTCCCTTTCCGGAGCCCCGCTTTCATCCAGCATCTTTGCCTTTCTGCGTCCCCCAAGTCTGCCTTTTCATTTTTCCGGTTAGCCGTATCTCCTCCTCTCTCCCCTTTTCTTCCTGACTGTCTTGACACGGCCCCCTTCTCAGCCATTCTTGCGTCGATTATTATTTCCCTCCCTCCTTTCTTGTTGATTCTCCTTTTACTAATTTATGGTTGTCTGCTCTACGTCTTTCTGCCCCCCCCCCCCCCTTTCACCGTAGATTTCAGATTGGCTTCCTTAAGTGCCGGTAGAGCAGCCCCCATCTCCTTGTCTCTGGCCTATGGTAAAGTTCTTTCCCCGATTTTGGATTTCATCCTCTGCCTGCATGCTTTCTTCCTATCTTCCATCTCTTCTTCACACCGTTCCCACCCACATATGAATGCCTGGTCGGTCTAGAATGGACTAAGATGGAGAGTTTGGCCTGCCTGGGGAGTAAGGGTTATTACGGAAAGAACTGACTGCTTATGGAGAGATTTCATGGGGACAGAAAATGAAGTTGGTTCTGGTTTTGGCTCTCTGGGCCCGTGGTTACAGGGTATTTTCAGGTTAGCTCCATAATGCTTCGTTTTTCCTTGCTTTTATGTAGGATATACCAGAGTCCACTAGTGTTTTTTCCACAAGCAGAATTGTTTCCAAGAACCAAGATGGGAGCCAGTTAAGGGGTAGATGGAGTGTTCTGCTCACAGGGGTTTGTCCAGCCTGAGAGTGTGTAGAGCCCCTGTTGTTTAGTAAGGCTTATTCCGGCACCAGGTCCCCGTCTGGCATGGCAAGCTCATAAAAATCTTTAACCTCCCAGCATACCTTCCTTCAGACCTCCCCAGATGGGACTTAGGGCTGCTGGGAATGGAACCTAGGACACAGGGCCCTGGGGCATGATTAGGGAGCCGCAGTCTAATAGGCTGGCAATCCTAAGTTCTCTTACTTGCTTGATGGAGTTGTGTACCTCGTTCTGGTTTTCTCTGGGGCTTGGACTTGGTTGTCCAATTTTATCATATATCTCTGATCATTGGAGGAGTGAAAAGATGATTGCTTTTGGGATAATACGAGAGGCTGCTGCCATTTCTAAAGTGACACAAAGGATAGAGCGTTTACATCAGGAAGATACCATTGTTTTATTTGTTTTCTTTGTTAGGATATGTCAGGGAGAAAGGAGGACTGGCTGTGGGAGCTGGGTGGATTGTGGTTGCTTAAGAGACTGTAGTAGTTTACACAAGCTAGAGCCCCATATCTGGTCCCTGAAGAGTGAAGAGATCCTCTAGGCTTTTGTCTGTGAAGCGGGCAGAAGTAGGCAGCAGTCTGAGCTGCCTACTGTCTGCCCCACAGGCACCGGCTCGTTTTGGGGGAGGTGCCTGCAGGACCCAACGTACTCAATGAGCTTCCAGCGCAATGTCCGATCGCTCGGGGCCGACTGCCAAGGGGAAGGATGGAAAGAAGTATTCCTCGCTCAACCTGTTTGATACGTATAAGGGCAAGTCCTTAGAGATCCAGAAACCCGCCGGTAAGGGTCCTGCAAAGATGTTTGTTCCTAATGTTTGAAGGCTAAGCATGTGTGGGGTGTAGGCTTCTTCAGCAAAGGCAGCAGGCAGACCAGAGGAGCACTGGAGACCTCCCAGTTTCGTCTTCAGTGCTGAAGGGAGTGCTGGGGTCTGGGTAAAACACCAGTCATCCTCCTACAAAGGCGTGTTTTTGGTTCCTTGTCCTTGGACACGTAAGAATTGGAGGCAAAGAAGTGTGGATTTGCCAAGATCTGGGGCCAGCTTGCTCCCCGCAGGCTCTGGATCAACTATCCCACAGAGAAGCAATACTTAAAATGTATCTCACCTTTCTTGGGAGAGCTGAGAGATTATTATTGAGTAATGGAATGGCTTCTGGGAGAAATCTGTAGTGAAAAGATAGAAATTGGAAGATAGTCTAAATGCGATGTGGATGTGAGGCATTTTTGACCCTTTCTCTACCTTTTCTTCAGTTGCCCCTCGACATGGCCTGCAGAGTCTCGGAAAAGTTGCCATTGCCCGGCGTATGCCACCCCCAGCCAACCTTCCAAGCCTGAAAGCCGAGAACAAAGGCAATGACCCCAATGTCTCACTAGTGCCGAAAGACGGAACAGGATGGGCAAGCAAACAGGAGCAGTCCGACCCCAAGAGGTAGACAGAGTCCTGGGGGATCTAGAAGGATGAGTTTTAGCTTTGAACTTGAGACTATATTAAGGTGTGTGTGGTCTGTTCCAGACACATAAGAGCCAGAGACAAAGAGAGACGCACATTTTGCACTTAGTTTGTTAGATGCCAAAGAAATGAAACCTTAAGCTCAGACAGATGGAGAGAAAGCAGGAAGAAACAGACAGAGCCTGTCTGATGACAGTCTGTCGTAGTATTTGTAGATGGCAGTGATAGACCAGGGTCAGTTCCAACTTTGTACCAGTTAGAGAACTAAGGGAGAGGCATCTCACACTCTGGATAACCTTTCCATCCTGCTATTCCCTCAGTTCCGATGCCTCAACCGCTCAGCCGCCGGAATCGCAGCCACTGCCGGCTTCACAGACGCCTGCCTCCAACCAGCCGAAGCGACCCCCAACAGCCCCAGAGGTGCCTGGAGAACTGGAGGGCGAGAGGAAGAGTGGGACATAGTCTTCCCTCCTATGACCGTTTATTACCTTCCCTCTCCAGAACACTCCTTCGGTTCCAAGCGGGGTAAAGTCCTGGGCACAAGCCAGCGTCACCCATGGAGCACATGGAGATGGTGAGTTCAAGAGTGTTGGAGGTCTGGGCAGTGGTGGTACACGTCCTTAATCCCAGCACTTGGGAGGCAGAAGCACGTGGATATCTGAGCTCAAGGCCAACCTGGTCTACAAAGTGAGTTCTAGGGCAACCGGGGCTATACAGAGAAACCCTGTCTCAAAAGACAGACAAAGTGTTAGAGAGCTGTGGGAGGCAGGAGCCCTGCATACCTTCAGTCAGGATCCTTCTTCTTTCCTCTAAACCTCATTCTCCAGTGCGCAGAGCCTCCCGCTCTGTGTCCATGCCCAGGAAGTGAACCCCTGTCTGATCTCTGCCCTCATTTCCACAGGTGGAAGGGCATCAAGCCTACTGTCGCGATTCTCTCGAGAGGAATTTCCGACCCTGCAGGCGGCTGGCGACCAGGACAAGGCTGCCAAGGAAAGGGAGTCTGCCGAGCAGTCGTCTGGGCCCGGACCAAGCCTCCGCCCCCAAAGTGAGTGGCTGCCTTGTGTGAATAAGTGGTTGCCTTATAACCAGAATAGTGACTTCCATGGAAGAGCTAAATGTATTGCTTACTTTCCTCCCCATCTTTTTTGATGGTTCTACTTGCCCCCAGTCAGTAGTGACTTATCTTTTCCCCCTCTTTGCATTTTCCAAAATACAGATGCCACAACTTGGAGGGACGGAGGTGGGCGTGGCCCTGATGAGCTGGAGGGCCCGGACTCCAAACTTCATCATGGTCATGATCCCCGGGGTGGGCTGCAGCCTTCAGGCCCACCCCAGTTCCCTCCCTACCGCGGAATGATGCCGCCCTTTGTGAGTTTGCCTTTCTACTCTTGAAGTGGTTTCCCTAAAAGCCAGAGTATTATAGTCAGGATTTAGGCAGGGTGTTGGTGGTTCAAACCTTTGTAATCCCAGCACTTGGGAGGTAAAGAAAGGCAGTCAGATCTCTGTGAGTTCCAGGACAGCCAGGGCTACACAAAGAAACTTCATCTTGAAAAACCAAAAAAAAAAAAAGTTGACCCCAGTGAGACGGGGTGGGAGGATGATATGTATGTATAAAGGGCTGGCAGGCTATTTATCCCTCTTAGCAGCTATTGTTGGGCCCTTTTGCAGATGTATCCCCCATATCTCCCATTCCCTCCGCCCTACGGACCCCAGGGGCCTTACCGATACCCGACTCCAGATGGGCCTGGGTAAGCAATCAGATTCTGGATTTGTTACTGGGGGCAGTGTGAGGCTGTTTGGGAAGAAGTGTTCTCTACCTGGGAAGTTCTGTTCCGTTCTGTACGTGATTCTACTACAGGCCGTATTTAACCTTATCTCCCCCTCCCCTTTTTTCTCCATACACAGCCGTTTTCCCCGTGTGGTGGGCCCCCGGGGCTCAGGGCCGCCAATGCGCCTTGTAGAGCCTGTGGGTCGGCCTTCTATTCTTAAAGAGGATAATCTCAAGGAGTTTGACCAGTTGGACCAGGAAAATGATGATGGTTGGGCAGGTGAATTTGGATATTTGGATCTTAAAAAGTAAAATCTGATGAAGAAAGATGGGTCATGTGAGAAAAGCAGATGGGAAAGGGTAAAGGATACGTGGTAAATGCCTAATGCTGCAGAGTACCCAGAGGGGTGAGAACGACAGGACATGGCGGGTAGTTGTTAGTGTTGTAGTTGCAGACTCTGAGATTGGAGCGCAGACCGCTTAGTTTACTTACTGTCCGTTTTCTTCCACTTCAGGGGCCCACGAGGAGGTCGACTACACTGAAAAGCTCAAGTTCAGCGATGAGGAAGATGGGCGAGACTCTGACGAGGAGGGAGCGGAGGGCCGGTGAGTTAGGGCACCAGAGGAGGGGAGGGGGCTCCGTTTTCCTAGGGTAACAGACTCCTAGAAGGGCTGGTTACAGCTGAGTTTAAATATACTGTGATTTGCCCACAGCAAGGATTCCCAGTCAGCTGCTGGTGAGGAACCTGAAACAGAGGGCAAAAAGGGCACCTCCCCTGGCAGCGAACCACCCCCTCCCAAGACGGCCTGGACCGAGAACTCTCGGCCTCCAGAAACGGAGCCAGCTCCTGCCATCCCCAAACCTCCTCCACCTCCACCTCACCGGGGACCTGTGGGGAATTGGGGCCCCCCTGGGGACTACCCAGTGAGTATCTACAACGAGGGGTTGAGAAGACTCAGTTGTGGGAGGCATCAGCTGAATAATTAAATAATAAGCAGTAGTAAGAAGCTAGGGGAGGGCTGTGTCGTGTCTCAGGAAAGCTTGGGAACCTTTGGTTGTAGGGGAGTTGGGAGCCCGCATGTTTAGGTCTTGAAAGGAGCAGAGTTGAGGATGAGGAATTTGTCTCCACCCAAAGAGACCATTGACTTTAAGGCCTGGTTCTTCCTCTTGATTGATGAATTAGTTGATTGATCTTTGGAAGAGGTGGTAGAAAGTATAACGACTGACATGCCTGGCCTGATGGGTCTGCCCATTGCCAGGATCGAGGGGGTCCTCCCTGCAAACCCCCGGCACCTGAAGATGAGGATGAGGCATGGCGGCAGCGTCGGAAGCAGTCTTCCTCAGAGATCTCCCTGGCAGTGGAACGGGCCCGAAGGCGACGGGAAGAGGAAGAGCGACGCATGCAGGAGGAGCGCCGGGCAGCCTGTGCTGAGAAACTCAAGCGGCTTGATGAAAAGTTTGGGGCACCTGACAAGCGGCTCAAAGCAGAGCCTGCAGCCCCACCCATTACCCCTCCTGCCCCAGCTCTACCACCTGCAGTCCCCAAAGAACTCCCTGCACCTCCAGCTCTGCCGCCAGCACCAGCCCCAACACCAGAGAAAGAACCCGAAGAGCCAACACAAGCCCCTCCTGTGCAGTCCACCCCCAGTCCAGGTGTGGCTCCAGCTCCCACTCTGGTGAGTGGTGGTGGCACTGCCAGTAGCACCAGCAGTGGCAGCTTCGAAGCCAGCCCAGGTATGGAGAAAGGAATAGGCTCTGCTAGGTGCTTGGCTTGTGGGGATACTGCATAGCAGAGATGGGTGTTTGGAAGAGAGCCCTAGTTTAGTGAGTGAGCTGTGAGTGGTAGGGAAAGAAGAGTTGGGATATCTGGGAGGAGGCTCTAAAACCGTTGTTGTAGACCCTAAAGTGGAGCAAAGCTCTTTTTGTTTTCTGGTAGTATCATAGGAATACTTGGGGCCTTGAAGTATTTTCCTGGGTCTTAAACAGGATGGGCATTAGTATAGTTGGTATTTGGTTGAAAACTTAAGTGGGGTTTGGAATTTCTGGCATATTCTTTGACTGTTTTGATGGACCAAGTCATTCTGTCCTTCAATGCAGTGGAATCCCAAATGCCTTCAAAAGAGGGTCCTGAACCACCAGAAGAGGTTCCTCCACCTACCACACCCCCAGCCCCAAAGGTTGAACCCAAGGGTGATGGGGTTGGTCCTACTCGCCAGCCTCCCAGCCAGGGTTTGGGCTACCCCAAATACCAGAAGTCTTTGCCACCTCGCTTCCAGCGGCAGCAACAGGTGAGGTCAAATTTTTTCCCTCTTGGGCTGGTGTTGTCTGTTCACCATCCTAAAGAGCTGTCTTCAGGCCTGTGTTCGTTCACCTTTTAATTGTGTTATTACAGTCCATCTACTCCATGTCATGTCCATGCCTTAACTTTTTCTCTGCTAATAATGTTGTAAGCTGTGGTAACCCCTCCCGTCCTGTCTTGTTCCTGGCAGGAGCAGCTTCTGAAGCAGCAGCAGCAGCAGCAGCAGCAGTGGCAGCAGCAGCAACAAGGCACTGCCCCTCCTGCCCCAGTGCCCCAGTCACCACCACAGCCTGTGACCCTGGGAGCTGTACCTGCCCCACAGGCACCACCCCCACCCCCCAAAGCCCTGTACCCAGGTGCTCTGGGCCGGCCCCCACCAATGCCTCCAATGAACTTTGATCCCCGCTGGATGATGATTCCTCCTTATGTGGACCCTCGGCTTCTTCAGGGCCGGCCTCCTCTGGACTTCTACCCTCCTGGTGTGCATCCCTCTGGTAAGGATCCATGGAGTGTTGGGGAGCTCCTTAGTGTAAGGAGGGGTACTGTCTTTGTATGACAGATTG